TGATATCTACTTATGTTAAGCCAGTGCGTGTAGTATACATTAACTCATTCAGCGCGTAAGGTTAAAGAAGAATTACAGTTGAATACATAATGGAACTCGTCACCCATTACTTGGCAGTCACACAATGTTCATATCTTTTGTTCTCGTCATATAATTCCCATCGACCTGTTTCTATTGGTAGTTTGTGCTTCCCAGTTTCAGAAACAGTAAAAGTTTAGAAATATAATCAGTGAAAAGTAAATAGTATATATCATCCTGTTCAAAAAGACAACACTAAATATTGGAAAAACTTGGACACTTTTAATTTACTCAATAGATGTACATTTGACAAAATCGTCAATTCTCACACAAGATCCTCCAAACACAGCTGCCAGATCTCTCAATCCACATTTCATCTTACTCAATGAAAGCTGCTGGCCGAACGACTGATTCTGATTCTGATTTGGTGTGGTTGTTGTTGACATCCTGTAGGCTGGTGCCAGCACTCTAAGAGTTGCAAAGTAGTTCTTTCTGAAACCAGTTCAGACTTCAGATATAATAATATCCATTTACTTCAATGAAAGTAGTGAATATATTGTCAACAAAAAAAAGTTAAAAAAATACCCAAGCATCTTGCAAGTGTTAATGGAAGTGGTTTGTAGTTGTTTGGTAACAAAGGCTTACCTTTCTTATGAATTGGCTTAATTACACCCCATTTAACCAACCATTCTTCTAGTGTCTTACCAGTATGAAATATAATTTTGAAGAATTTAAGCTAAACAGTCATATTTTCGCCTTATAATGCCGACGTGCCGTCAAATTTCAGGTTGACACAAGCCGACTTGTCGAGGTTCCTAGCTGTCGGACGGGCGCTCGTCTGAGTGATTGGACCCAAGCCGGGTCGGCTGGTCCCTCGCCGGCGTTTTCCCTCCCCGGCGTTACCCTCGCCGGGTGCTCCCTGGCGAAAATCCGTCTTTGTCCGGCGCAGGCGCACTCGTGGATAATGGGGTTACGCGAAAAGCAAATGTTTTCCGAAGGACCTTTTTTATTTTCTCTCTCTCTTATTACTCGACAACAACCATTGGTGGTACATGAGTTGTACAACAACAAAAACTACAGTAATAGATGTACAGCTTGATGACAAATATTGTAGCATACGTCACAGTATAGCATTCAAAATTTTAATGTCTGAGGACCTTCGAGAGTTTTTTTTTAAAGTACCTACTTTACCAGTTGTGAACAGTTTTTGATATCTACTTATGTTTAGCCAGTGTGTGTAGTATACATTAACTCATTCAGCGCGTAAGGTTAAAGAAGAATTACAGTTGAATACATAATGGAACTCGTCACCCATTACTTGGCAGTCACACAATGTTCATATCTTTTGTTCTCGTCATATAATTCCCATCGACCTGTTTCTATTGGTAGTTTGTGCTTCCCAGTTTCAGAAACAGTAAAAGTTTAGAAATATAATCAGTGAAAAGTAAATAGTATATATCATCCTGTTCAAAAAGACAACACTAAATATTGGAAAAACTTGGACACTTTTAATTGACTCAATAGATGTACATTTGACAAAATCGTCAATTCTAACACAAGATCCTCCAAACACAGCTGCCAGATCTCTCAATCCACATTTCATCTTACTCAATGAAAGCTGCTGGCCGAACGACTGATTCTGATTTGGTGTGGTTGTTGTTGACATCTTGTAGGCTGGCGCCAGCACTCTAAGAGTTGCAAAGTAGTTCTTTCTGAAACCAGTTCAGACTTCAGATTAAATAATATCCATTTACTTCAATGAAACTAGTGAATATATTGTCAACAAAAAAAAGTAAAAAAATTACCTAAGCATCTTGCAAGTGTTAATGGAAGTGGTTTGTAGTTGTTTGGTAACAAAGGCTTACCTTTCTTATAAATTGGCTTAATTACACCCCATTTAACCAACCATTCTTCTAGTGTCTTACCAGTATGAAATATAATTTTTATAATGCCGATGTGCCGTCAAATTTTAACTCATTCGCTTTCAGGTTGACACATATAAATCGTGGACATCCCACGGTATCATTTTATCGAGATGTGAAGACGACATGTCAGGTAGGTTTTGAAACCAAAGAACTACCCGTTTGTTGAAAAGTTTTGGAATCGTTTGATAGATATTCTGATCATTAAAACTTACGTCCTTGTTGTCAAACGGTCCACGTGGGAGGGTGTTTACATGCTGTCACCCGTTTACGCATTAACCAATGAAATGCATGTGTTATCATGACGTCATCTTGTCCTGTCAGATCACTCGTATAAGCTCCGCCCACTAGAGTGCGGTAGTTCCTACCGCAGATGCCCCTTTAAGGAGGATTTTAAGATTTGTATATTTGGTATATTTAAAAAAGCTGTCGCGGGCGGTCGGGTAGCCTAGTGGTTAAAGCGTTCGTTCGTCACACCGAAGACCCGGGTTCGATTCCCGACATGGGTACATTGTGTGAAGCCCATTTCTGGTGTCCCCCGCCATGATATTGCTGGAATATTGCTAAAAGCGGCGTAAAACAATATTCACTCACTCACTTGAAAAAGACGTCACTACTTAATTAACAGACACTTGCAAGTGTTAATACCCACCCCACACTAAATGCCCTGTTACACCCTAGTCCACAATGATTTGACATTAAGCTCATTTTGCTAATTTTGCTAATGAGCTGGTGTTAGTGTAGCAAGGTGATAAACATCAATGGCGGGGCAGGCTTTCATCATCATGTCTTCTGTAGAGCATGCTGAATCATTAGACAACTGTGACCAGTGGACCCATCGTGTATGTAGAATCAGTTTATTCTCAAAAAACACAAAAGGTGGTACAAGAGCATATTACAATAAACAATTATGTATATGTACAAAAAGCAGACGAGATGGCAGTTAGTAAACAACATGTGATTACCTAGCATTTTTAATACTAATGGACATTTTTACAATAAATCTCGATAAATTCTTTAGATCCTGTGTCTTTGTTGTTGATAAGAGGTTTACAAATTTTAGAATATTTGGCCATTCAGTAGAAATGTTTGCCTCTCTCTTTAAAAAATTTACATCTGAATAAGTAGTGAAATTCATCATCAATAGATGGAGAATAACATAATTTACAGGTTCTATTTTCATTTGGCCGATGGAAAAATATTCCAGTCTCATTAGGTAAATTATGATTACCGGTTCGAAATCGTAGTATTGGAATTGCTATTCGTTTTGGCAATAGAAGATATTTATCGAGAACCGGAGTGTCCTTTAAATGTTTATAATAGAATCCTTTAGAACTAGAATTAACGTCACTTCTCCATTTCTGAACAAAATGATCTTTAAGTATTTGCTCTACTTCTGACACTAGCCACTTTGTTGTGCAAATTGATGGATTGTTAAATACATAAGATAATCCAATACTGTCTACTATATTCATAACACATCTAACCGGACTTTCTGTAGCCCGATATCGAGACATTAGCCGGACTGAAGAAGACTAAGATGCTGAAAACTGAAGAACTGTATATATGTTAATATCCGTAGTTATCTGTGAATACCTGGAAAACATGAAATGGAAAATACATCAAATAATATGTAAATAAAGTCATCGTATCCCAATTGCGTGGATCGATGCTCATGATATCAGTCACTGGATTGTCTCGGCCAGACTCGATTATTTACAGACTGCTGTCATATAGCTAGGATATTGCTGAGTGCGGCGTTAAACAACGAATAACCAACCAACGTTATTAAAAATAGAGGTGCCGTTTTCGCCCGACACGTAGTAGCCGTTTTTTCCAAATGCGGTGCCGTTTTCGCCCGCGAAATCGGTGACGTTTTGCTGTCGTCACTTACAGTTCAACCACTCGTGTCAGACCTTTTTCCAGCACACAACCGTACTACAGTCACCCCAAATTAAAATGGCATTGTGATTTAACGTGTGCTTTCCGATATTATGCGTATTTCGCACATGGGCCCGCCAGACCATTTAGTGAGGTGGTCGAAAAGGGTATATCTAAAGAAGGCAACCAGGCGGGGTGTTTAGGGTTTGTTATTTAATTCAGGTGGCATCCTTGGAATTTTGAAATATGCCATACCTAAAAGTGTTGTTCTGAGTGTTTATAGATTTAGTATTTTTGTTTATTTGTAGATTGTTGGGTTATTTGTACGTTGTTTAATGGGTTTAGAAGAGTTGGTAGTGTCAACTGGTTGTTGGGTTCACTCCAATTGCAAGTTGTCAGACATCCCATCTGTCACACGACCCAGTCGTCAGGCAGACCAGTCAAGTGTGAAGAGGGCGCACTGGCACAAAGCGATCTTTGCGCTAACGTGATCGTAACGCCCTTACTTTAACATAGGCTTACGTTAGTCTTAACGCTAAGATCGCTTTGTGCAAGCGGGCCCAGTGTGACTGCTTGGTCTTGCCTACTAATTAATGAGCTGCTCGCAACTGTGGGTAGAGTACTACTCCAACTCGTTAAGTTTTTGTTTGGTTGGTTGTTTAACGCCGCACTCAGCAATATTCCAGCTCTATGGCGGCGGTCTGTAAATAATCGAGTCTGGACCTGACAATCCAGTCATTGATATCATGAGCATCGATCCACGCAATTGGGATCGATGACATGCATCAACCAAGTCAGCGAGCCTGATCACCCGATCCCGTTAGTCGCCTTTTACGACAAGCATAGTCGCCTATTATGGCAAGCATGGGTTGCTGAAGACCTATTCTACCCCGGATCTTCACAGGTCGCCGCTTTAGTGAAAGGTAATCAGGTAACTACTGCTTCATTGACCAACCTTGACTAATCCTGGTTTAAGCTGTCTGACAAATGGGGGGCCTGACAATTGGGAGCTTACTGGTTGTGTAATTGTGAGTATTGTTCTATGTTGTTTTAGTAATACGTGTTCGGGGAATTCTGTTTTCTTAAAAGCTACGTCAACAACCCTCGGCTTCCCGTGCGTACACAGTATAGTGGGCGTTACCTACATGCGCTGTTGAGTACATTTCAATGAGGGAAAAGCGTCGGTGGTGCGTGCCAAGCTCAGAACCTGCCGGACAAATCAACACGTCGGACCTCGACTCGCCGCCATATGACACTGCACTTTTGTGACTGAGGTAGGGTTAAATTTCATATTAGCTACTTATTATCAAACATATTTTATTGTCCAAAAAGTACTGTAAGTCCCCATGGACCCTAGCATGGTGATCTACCTTCAGCTGCTGGCGATCTGTAGCCCATTTTATATATCGTCATGTACTGTGCTATTCTATTCTATAATTCCTTACTAGTTTTATATCTTTTTCTGTGATAAATCTAGGGATTTTACTGTCCTTCGTTGACAGGTTTCTAAATAAGTTTCAATATATGTATAATGTTTAACTATTGATAGTCTCGATATGGCTGAAATATTGCCGATGTGACTTAAAATGTGACTCACTCACACTCACTATTGTCCAAAAGAGTTGCACCCGACTCGCCTAAAAAATATATATAATATTTTCGTATGAGCAAATATAACTTAGGTTAGGCCTAATGATCACAATTACTAGTATATTCATACACAAGTATGGAAATAATGAAAAAACAAAAACGTATCATCCATAGAATTTGTCTTCTGTCATATTTACATCCTAAAAACATACATTAAAAGATCACTTGAGTCTTTACATACCCCATGGGTTCGTTACATCCATCAAATAATAAATCCATAATTTATATCCTGAAGATAACACAACGTACGTTGCAGTTGCACCTCCACATGTTCACTAAACTGACATTTGTATATTTCCCCGGAGTTTCGATCAGTGATGTGATGTCACCGAGAGTGACACCGATTGTATCAAAACAACGCCATGACATCGTTCACTTAATCAGTCAGAGCCCAGTCGGTTACGCTATTGGGACCGACCGACCGACTAACATTGAGGTACATTATGTGTATAAAAACATTACTAATCCCCCCCAATCCCATCGGCATCTATTCCAAATCTCAAAATTCCCAAATTCTATATAAGCAACCCCTAAAACCCCCCTCTTGGGTTGCACAGACCACTTTCGCCCCTTTCGGAAACACATTAAATGGCCTGGCCGGGCCCGTGTGCGAAATACGCATCAGTCGGAAAGCGCACGTTTAATCTCCAAAGTAAGTAAGTAAGTAAGTATTACTATGTATTTCTGATAGTTACATACTTATTCTAAAATACAAAAATCGACCGTAGTTCGCTCAAAAAGTTTTTAGGCGAGTCGGGTCAAAATCTTTTTAGGCGCGTTGGATTTTAGGCGAGACGGGTCAAAATATTTTTAGGCGAGTCGGGTGTATCCCGTCCAAAAAGATAAAGGGATTGGGTACAAGTGCAACACTTATTACCGCCTTCTCCCTATATACAGTTAAACATAATATTGCATAATGGAAATGAACAATTTACAATTGAAGATTGACGTTATGGAAACATAGTGAGCAACATATATACAGTGCTCATATGCAGGATATGTACAATGTGCTGGAAAGTGAAGACAGTGTGTATCTCATCCATATGCAAATGTTATAACTTTAGTGTTTATATGTTGATTTAACAATATTAATGATTAACAGTTTGGAAAGAATAATATGCTTGATACTGAATCTGTTTCTATATATTTGTGTACAGATAAGAATATTTTTGTATTCAGGAAAACATTTAGGTTTGGGTCACCAAATAAAATACTATGTAGAGTCTTTTGTCCTCCAAGATTATCGATAGCTGTCAGTAATATCTCCCTAAAACCATCCTATAAGGTACCGTCGAAGAAATGGAATGAATTTTCACAAAGAGCTCGGCATTTACAGGAAATAAGTATCAGATAAGTTAACACGAAACAGGTCGGAATTTAGTGTGCTACAATTTTGTCTCAATCTAGTGTGCAATATGTTTGTAGATCTCTTACAATAAGAAGAGCAACTGTCCCTGACAACTGAGGCATATTCTAAAGTCGGTCTGATAAAAATTAGATATATGTTAGCCAAGTTTGATCTACTTCACCGATATTTAAGTTTTCTCATCGATGAAACCATGTTTTGTGCGCTTGAAATAATTTCATTGACATGATCGTTCCATTTTGTGTCTTGTGATAATGTAACACCAAGGTGCTTGTGACAGTCTACCCTTTCTATACATGTGTTATTGAAAACTATTGGTATTTCATCTGGGGTTTATGCGCGAAGAATATATACTTGGTTTTGCTGGGATTGAATTGTACCCAGTTATGTAATATGCATAGATCTTTATTTATGGAGTTTTCAATATGCTTAATATCTGGAGATGACATGCAAATGCTAGTATTATCTGAAAAAAACGTGTCACATTTCTCATAGCATATGTTTTTAATATAGATAAAAAATAATATTGGACCAAGGACTGACCCCTGTGGGACGCCAGTGTGTTGAATTGGAGAGACAACCGTTAACATTTACTTTTTGGCGTCTCTGAGATAGCTCTGGAACCATTTAAGCTGATTATCACTACTACCATATTGTCTTAACTTGTGTAATAAACCATTGTGCCACACTCGGTCAAATGCTTTAGAAATGTGATAGAAAACCATGCCAAAAATATTCATGCTGATCTTTCATGATGAAATATCTCGTGTGGTTGCAAAGTAGTTAAGTGTCCTGGTACAAATCCAGATTGGTATTTACACAGCAAGTTATGATAAATAAGATGATTATACAACCGCTTGAAAACGATTCGATAAAAAACTTACTGATGCAGGACACTAGTGGTACAGGTGCACACTTGGAATGGGAAGATGTATCCCCGTTCATATAGAGAGGGATGACATGTGCCAATTTCCACTGGTGTGGAAATTCGTGCTTAAGCAAAGATAAATTGAGTGAGTGAGTGAGTGAGTGAGTATGGTTTTACGCCGCTTTTAGCAATATTCCAGCAATATCATGGCGGGGGACACCAGAAATGGGCTTCACACATTGTACCCATGTCGGGAATCAAACCCGGGTCTTCGGCGTGACGAGCGAACGCTTTATCCACCAGACGACCCGACCGCCCCAAAAAGATAAATTGAACAATAGATACCATGGCGTGGCTATTGAATGGTCAATATGTTTCAATAAGCGATGATTAATGTTATGTGGAACACTAGCCTTGTTCACTGCAGGTGGCTTTATCAAATTGATTATTTCGTTATGTTCAACATGAAAATCTTGAATTTCAGCATCACATTTGTTAAACGTTTTCGGAATCTGAAAAAGCGGTAGGCATACTTGAAACATCAGTGACCAAAGTGGATATAGTTGTTGTAGTACCAGAATCTTTCAGAATAAATCTAAGTAATTTCCAATAGTTGGAGTTATTTTCTTTGGATACAGTTGATAAAAACCCATCTAAGTTACAATGGAAGTCCTATTTGGCTTGTTTGCGGAGATTATTAACAGTATTTTGTACCTTAGAAATTCATCTGGTTTCCCGGGTAATTTTGCCTTATTTCTGAGTTTTTCTTTGACACGGATTACTCGTCGAATTTCACTGTTAAACCAGGGTTTATCGCTTGGCCTCATTACTACTGGTGTAGAGGGTACGCACTCTTTTACATAATGACTCTGTGCTAATGTTAGGGCGTCACAAGCTTCGCTGACCGAATTGCAGGAGTCAAACATTTTTTCCCAATCGGTGGAAGAATAAGCTTGTTCAGGCGTTGGTAATCACCTTTGTGGAAAATAAAATATCTCTTACATAAGACTTTGTAAAGTTGATACAATTGGAAAGAGTGACAAAATACCCTTGTGGTCACGGATAACGACGCTAAAGTCTAAAAGGGGAGGTTCTCACTTTGCCAGCAGCTATTGTTCTAGTTTTAAAAAATCAGTAGCCCGTGATAATCCCTACAACAATGGGGATTAACACTATAGACTGTTTCACTTTCACAGACTGACTATAGCCAGACTACAGCCTGTTTAGGTAGAAATAAATGTATGTAGTACTATAGGTTTTTATTAATTATTAATTAAAAATTACATTTATGTACATATGTACAATTTTTAAAGACAATATAATACAGTAGTTTGTATTGATACAAAAAATGTATGAAGTAGTATGGGTTTTTATTAATTATTAATTACAAATTCGATTTATGTTCAGATGTACAATTTTCAAGACAATCTAATACAATATAGCTTGCAAAATCACTTAGAGTAAAGTTTGGAAATCACCTTTTCGGCATATCGGAATAAAGACACTCTGAGGTAACACTTGACTGAGTGATGGTTTTGTCGTTGTGCACATTGGGAACATCTCTTCCTTACGTACATACTTCTCTATATCTTTCTATGGTTTCGTTTAGTGGTGAATAAATCTGAGCGTCTTTGACCATTCTGAACACTCGCTGGAACCAGACTATGAATTGATTAGTTGTTTAAAATAGCTATATTAAACACCGGTGATGTATTAGTATGCTAAGGCAAGAACAAACTATATGTATATTCAGATACGGAGGTGTTCCAGTCAGGAAATGGCTGAAATACTACCGATGCGATTGTTTTAATTTTAACTTCATCAGATACGGAGGAACATTTCCGTTTCAGGATAAGTCGCATGGCCATGATGGTTTATGTGGGCACACAAACAGGTACTTTGCATTTAAACATAAACCGTCAACGCCAGAGGATATTCGGTCTCGATTTTCTTCCATAACACATTAAATGAGGGTTTAAAAAGCGAAATACTTGTGGAAATTGTGCGACTAGAATGAAAAGTACGGGGTAGAACAGGTCTTCAGCAACCCATGCTTGCCGCTTGCGATTACGCTTGTCGTAAGAGGCGACTAACGGGATCGGGTGGTCAGGCTCGCTGACTTGGTTGATGCATGTCATCGATCCCATGTTGGATCGATGCTCATGATATCAATCACTGGATTGTCTGGTCCAGACTCGATTATTCACAGACATTTAACCATAAAACGTAAACACCAGAAGAGAAAAGTCTCGATTATCTTCCCAAACAGATTAAATTAGAGTTTAAAAAGCGATATACTTGTGAAAATTGTGTGAATAGAATGAAAAATACACCTACTTGTTGGGAAAACAAATATATTTTTTCTGACTCACTACTATTTCCTAATTTACAATTTGTTAATCTAAGTGGCCCATCAAACCATTTCCTTTGTGTGATTATCCCTCATTGGTTCCTAGTGTCACGCTGGAGCACCCGAAGAGAGTATTTACTGATACTTCCACTGAGCTGTTAAACCCCAGGACAAGCAACAGCAGATGGTGTGTTGTGCCACGATGCCGGGGAACTGCATCAACTCCCGACGTAAATGTGCAGGGTTTATGATGACCTTTGTGGCGACCCTGTTCGTCACCTGGTTTCTATACAGCAGGTGAGACACATGGCTGTGAATGTATGTAGTCTGTGTGACGCTCCTGTTGGTCCCATGGTATCTATACAACAGGTGAAACACATGGCCGTGAATGTGAGTCAATGTATATAGTCTGTGTGACGCTCCTGTTGGTCCCATGGTATCTATACAACAGGTGAGACACATGGCCGTGAATGTGAGTCAATGTATATAGTCTGTGTGACGCTCCTGTTGGTCCGCTGGTTTATATACAACAGGTGTGACACGGCTGTGAATGTATATAGTCTGTGTGACGCTCCTGTTGGTCCGCTGGTATCTTACAACAGGTGAGATGCATTGCCGTGAATGTGAGTCAATGTCTGTAGTCTGTGTGACGCTCCTGTTCGTCCGCTGGTTTCTATACAACAGGTGAGACACATGGCTGTGAATGTCTGTAGTCTGTGTGACGCTCCTGTTGGTCCGCTGGTTTCTATACAACAGGTGAGACATATGGCTGTGAATGTGAGTCAATGTCTGTAGTCTGTGTGACGCTCCTGTTGGTCCCCTGGTTTCTATACAACAGGTGAGATACATGGCTGTGAATGTATGTAGTCTGTGTGACGCTCCTGTTGGTCCCCTGGTTTCTATACAACAGGTGAGACACATGGCCGTGAATGTGAGTCAATGTATATAGTCTGTGTGACGCTCCTGTTGGTCCGCTGGTTTCTATACAACAGCTGTGACACATGGCTGTGAATGTATGTAGTCTGTGTGACGCTCCTGTTGGTCCGCTGGTATCTTACAACAGGTGAGATGCATTGCCGTGAATGTGAGTCAATGTCTGTAGTCTGTGTGACGCTCCTGTTGGTCCGCTGGTTTCTATACAACAGGTGAGACACATGGCTGTGAATGTATGTAGTCTGTGTGACGCTCCTGTTGGTCCGCTGGTTTATATACAACAGGTGAGATACATGGCTGTGAATGTATGTAGTCTGTGTGACGCTCCTGTTCGTCCCCTGGTTTCTATACAACAGGTGAGACACATGGCCGTGAATGTGAGTCAATGTCTGTAGTCTGTGTGACGCTCCTGTTGGTCCGCTGGTTTCTATACAACAGGTGAGACATATGGCTGTGAATGTGAGTCAATGTCTGTAGTCTGTGTGACGCTCCTGTTGGTCCCCTGGTTTCTATACAACAGGTGAGACACATGGCTGTGAATGTATGTAGTCTGTGTGACGCTCCTGTTGGTCCCCTGGTTTCTATACAACAGGTGAGACACATGGCTGTGAATGTATGTAGTCTGTGTGACGCTCCTGTTGGTCCGCTGGTATCTTACAACAGGTGAGATGCATGGCTGTGAATGTGAGTCAATGTCTGTAGCCTGTGTGACGCTCCTGTTGGTCCCATGGTATCTATACAACAGGTGAAACACATGGCTGTGAATGTGAGTCAATGTCTGTGTGACGCTCTTGTTGGTCCGCTGGTTTCTATACAACAGGTGAGACACATGGCTGTGAATGTGAGTCAATGTCTGTGTGAGGCTCCTGTTGGTCCGCTGGTTTCTATACAACAGGTGAGATACATGGACGTGAATGTATGTAGTCTGTGTGAGGCTCCTGTTGGTCCGCTGGTATCTATACAACAGGTGAGACACATGGCTGTGAATGTGAGTCAATGTCTGTAGTCTGTGTGACGCTCCTGTTGGTCCGCTGGTTTCTATACAACAGGTGAGACACATTGCCGTGAATTTATGTAGTCTGTGACGCTCCTGTTGGTCCCCTGGTATCTATACAACAGGTGCGACACATGGCCGTGAATGTGAGTCAATGTCTGTGTGACGCTCCTGTTGGTCCGCTGGTATCTATGCAACAGGTGCGACACATGGCCGTGAATGTGAGTCAAAGGATGGAGTCTGTGTGACACTCATGTTGGTCCCCTGGAATCTATACAGCAGGTGAGACACATGGCCGTGAATGTGAGTCAGTGTCTGTGTGACGCTCCTGTTGGTCAGCTGTTATATACACAGCAAGTGAGACTGTGTAGTCTGTGTGACGATCCTGTTGGTCCGCTGGTTTCTTTACAGCCGGTGAGACACATGGCCGTGAATGTATGTAGTTTGTGTGACGCCCGTGTTGGTCCCCTGGTATCTATGCAACAGGTGCGACCCATGGCTGCGAATGTGAGTCAAAGGATGGAGTCTGTGTGACGCTCCTGTTGGTCAGCTGTTATATACACAGCAGGTGGGACATATGTCCGTGAAAATGACTCAATGTCTTAACATTAGTGTTGCAGTCACTGGGCTACAAGTACGAAGGTGGCAATTAGATCCACAGAAATATAAAGAAGACTTTTGTCGTTTCATTTCACATCATTCTGGTAGTACGGAATATCCCCGAAACTGGTTCATATAATTTGTTTTGTGAGATGTTTAACGCCACACCCAGCAATATTCAAGAGGTCTGATGATAATCGACTCTGGACCATTCAGTGACTGACAATCATGAGCATCGATCCACGCAATTGGGTGATGATGGCAGACCACTCGATCCATTTAGTCGCCCCTTACAAGCATAGGGTGCAGGTGACTTTCATTCATTCCCCTGTGTGTCGACATACAGTATAGCAGAGGCCAAGTTTACCAAATATTCAAACTGTGATAATCAAGTCACAGTGTTTCTTCCTTAGCTAACTATTTGTATTTTCATTTTGTTATTTACAGCAGTATTGATATGGCACCAACTTCCATGTCATACGGTACGTCAAATACCTCAAAAGCGAGAGAAACTGACTGGAGAAGATCAACTTCAGCAATCCTCACACAAGCAAAGAACAGATCACAGTTACAGAATTCAAGCTACACCCGTGTTGCTGATCCCCGTTTTTCCGAAATACGCATCAATGGAAAGTACCAGTTCCAAGTCGGGGACGTCATAAATGTCTCCATCATCCTGAAGGACAGAGAGGGCAGGATGATTGTCACAGGAGGAGATGACATCAGGATATGGATGAAATCTACAAATGGCAGGAACAGAACTTCCGGTCACGTCATTGATCACGGAAACGGAAGTTACACAGGAGTTCTACGAGCATTCTGGGAAGGACATCCTGTTATCACGGTATCCATTGCCTGGACAAGACAACATCTTAACATCAAAGACAGATTTCTTTCATCACATGTTCCGTACAATTTCTTATATGCTTCATTTGAAAGCGGGTCTCTAAAGGAAGTAACTCGATGCAATATAACAAAGACGTCAGAGAACATGTGTGATTTTACTGCACAAAATGGCGGACATCCATGGCTGTGTGAAAGACCTAAGGAAAAACGTCTTCCATGTTCGTCGCGGAAAAGCCACCACTCGGCTACCGCTGGTGATTATCACACACCTGCTGAGAAACAATTTATCAAAAGGTTAGTCTGGCATGATCTGGCTTTTTAATCAATTTATATTTGATTTCCGATTACAGTAATTCATTCCACCTTTTTAACATATATAGCAGCATAACTGTATCAGTAAGTTTATTATCTGGCATGAGTACGGTCTCTGGCAACACTCAAACTGGAGTGAGTGAGGGAGTGAGTGAGTCTGGTTTAACGCCGCTTTTAACATTATTCCAGTTATATCATGGCGTGTCAGCTTAATGTGGGAGGAAAGTCCGAAGTGATGCAGGTCTCAGACGTTTACAACTTTGGTGAAACCCACGAGCATGGGTATGGTGCTGACAAACCTAGAAACATAATTGGGGCGAACCGGGATTCGAACCCACAATCATAGGTTTCTGGCGTGTCCAAGGGACGCAACTCTGCACAGCGAATCGCGGCGCCTTAGACGACTGGGCCACCCGTGTCCCCCACTCAAAATGGAACCCCATAAAGATGTCATACAGTCACGACGCTGAAAATATATAAATAATTCAGACATTGTGAAACAGCAAAGTTCACCCCATCATTTTATTTTAACCTCGTTGAAATTGTTAAAGGATTCCAACCCTTTTCAACTGAAATGCTGTTTTTGCCTTTGACAGACATCCTCCTCATCAGTTTCTACGGACAATTACAGCGTCCATAAGTCGAGGTTAGTAAAGTTATCATCCACGATCACTGGAGTAGATCGCACACATGTTAATTTGGCTTTAGTCAGCCTTGTCCCAGTGGTCTAGCACTTTATAAAGGGTTAAGTTCAATTATCCACCACACGTGGATTCACATCGTTATATATAAGCGAAAGTACTTCTTGAACGGAACTTTAAGCCAAAGCACCACCGAACCGAACCCCGTCCCAACTCTTCAAAGTAATGTAAGATTTTTAGCTCATCTTTTGTTTCCACTCAAGTTCACATACCACATGTCACATATCTCAGTATCCTCCACCGGGATATTGCTGGAATATTGCTAAAAGCGGCGTACAATCCTTCGTCTGTTGATATGAATATCTCAGTTACTTGTTAACATAATAACATCTATCTGCAGGTAACTTTCGTCCGGTAACACGGATCAGCTGTTCGGAACTACCAGTTAACCAAACCTGGAGGGACGACTTTGCATCGGGATACAGCTCACAGGAAAGCAACACGCGAGTCTGGCATCCTCAACTCTGCCGGTACCCGATACAACAGACAGAACAAGCCTATAAGCGATGCCTAACAAACAGGCGCCTGTGGCTGTATGGAGATTCCACAACCAGGCAATGGTTTGGATATCTTTCACGTTTGCTTGGGAGGGAAATGGTTATACACGGGAAATACGAGCCGAAAGTATCTTTTATAAGCGATACAAACAGTTCTATTTTCTGTGGACCCCATGAATATCCTTTCAACATTGGGAGTGTCTGGACTAATGCAACATTTAACAAACCCTTGAAACAGTACCTTGATAAGATTCCCAACCACTCCACGGATATTGTAGTGTTTCATCAATTAGCTCACCTGGTAAATTTTGGACCTGATGTTTTTAGAGATCATATTCGCAGGAACGTAAGAAGCATCAGAGAATTTATTTTCAGGGTCCCAAAAGCTATCGTGGTTGTCAAAGGGACGACCACTTTCAGAACTTTTGTCTTAGATAAATTCGGAGACATGAATGCTATGTCGTATGATCCAATCTTGAGAGAAGAATTTTCTTTGATCAAGGACAGGGTTATCTTTCTTGATTTTATTCCGATGACCTTAGCATCTGAAGTTCAGGAGCTCCACCCAGACAAGGAAGTGGTGAAACTAATGGTCCATCACTTGATGGGAAATGTATGTGGAAGAAACTAGTGTCTTTGTTGTGTGACCATTTTGGCAAGAATAAATACAGGCAATATTTGTATTACTTTTTTAGTCAGCACATCATATATGTGTACGTTGATGAATGATTGAGTTTGGTGAAACACTCCTAGGAGTATTTCAGTTATACCACGGCGTGTCTATTGGAGACTTGACAAGGAGGCCCAGTCCAATGTCCGTATGCCTTCTCGTCATAGCTAATCGGTGACGATTTCGGCACTATTTGGTCTGGCATTGGCATCTTGCTGTTAAAAAATTCTGCCGATATTTCTAGCGAATGGAACAACGACAGGACATATTGCAGGCCAGTCAAATGTGCATTCACGTTAACCAAATCAGTTCGCTTATCATGTGTGATACCGCCCCATACCATGACACCCAGACCCGGGGTAGAATGTTTCTCCATCAACCCATGCTTGCCGTAAAAGGTGACTATGCTTGTCGTAAGAGGCGACTGACGGAATTGGGTGGTCAGGCTCGCTGACTTGGTTTGATGCATGTTATCGTATCCCAATTGCGTGGATCGATGCTCATGATGTCAATTACTGGATTGTCTGGACAAGACTCGATTATTTACAGACCGCTGTTCTATAGCTGAAATGTGACGTTGAACAAGAAACAGACACTACCGCCTCCACACCGATCAAGGTCACGAATTGTTACCCTGGCATATCGCTCGCCGCTACGTCGCCAAAACATTTTCTGCCATCTGCGGATCGGAGGCAAAATCTTGATTCGTCTGTAAACATTATGTAAAGCCATTGGCGCACAGCCGTTCTTGGTGTTGCCTGGCACACCCCAGTCTTTGTCGCCTTTGGTAAGCTGTTAGAGTCACACCCTTCACAGGACGCCTTGCACTTCAGGCGGAGTTGCATGGAGCCGATTTGTAAGGGTATATGTTGAAATTCGCCTACCTGTTTTTGTATGTAATTCTCTATTTGAATCTATTGCGTAGTGTTTCAACAGAAAATAACTTGTAATTAAACAATGAAGCAGATGGCAACTTGACTTCGTTTACGGTACAAAAGATACCGAACATAGTTTATCCCATGCACAAGGAAATAGGATAATATATACTATTAGATAGTGGTTTTAAAGCAATATCAATATGTATACATATTTTCACCCTGTTAATAAGGCATTTTTGTATTGAGTAATGAACGAATCATAGTCTTTAAAATAAGTTGGTCCTTTTAGAATGTAGAGGAAATTAATGTTCATTAATTTATATTTTCAATGTGAATGTTTTCCCGATATGGGGTGGTGAAGTGCCTGATCACATTCAGTCCACATTTGAGTTCTATACCTCGAAACAGCTGTGGGTGAGATACCCATTTGAGATAACTCGTATCTGTTTTTGCATCAAATCACCAATGATAATCCTGAAACGCCGCCGATAAGCCTGGAATCGTTTAGTTGGTTTTGGAAATTAGGCTAACACGAACGTTGACTTTCCGCCATATTGGATCGTGTTTACAAAATCACGTTTCCGTTATGCCTGTTTTGAGACGCATAGTACATCACGCATATTTCAAACTCAGCTGCGATACATACATCCCTGAATTCCTCATACATTTTAAAATCAAATGACAAACTGTATTTGTCACCAATACAAATTTTCAAGACTTTTCGGAATTTTCGGAAGACTGTACTTGTTTCAAATGTAAACAAAGCAAAATTCAGATTTTACGCTGTGTGGCATTTTCTCCTATTTTGAGAGATCCATTCGTCTAATTGTTGCATACTTTTGTGTTTGAGAATATTCATGGGAAGAGTTTCGTAGCACGAATTACAATGATCAGGTACATGACTTTTATACTCAACAGAAATCGTATGTTTCCGTCCTGTGTGACGCCCTGACTGACGCAAAATTACGCTCAACCACGACGGTAATTATCTGCATTTCTGACTAAAATACTTGGTTACTTTGGAAAACATGTAAACAGATAACAGTACGCAGATTGTCAGATTGTTTACTTACATGACACATTTATGCATAAACGATCCTCAATCAACGAAAATACTCCTGAAAATCCCGCGTACTGTTGTCATTGAACACGCCATTTCGTAAATGTCGGTCACCGGTAGTGATGTCATACGGAAGTGAGCATTCTTATATGTATTTTGTAATTTCTTTGAGGTGAAACGAATAATTCTTATGAAAATGTGCGTCAGAAAAATAACTTGACATCCATCGGGTTAATACATGTTGTTCGATGTTATCTAGTTTGCATTAACATTAACATTATCGCATTGATATAATCCAAAGATGTGTCGGAAACCTGTTTGTGTATGGTCACATTAATTATGAGTAGTACAGTACGTTGGATGACGCCACTCATGACCGTTATGTATTAATGCCCCCTCTGCGATCATGAGCATAGACAAAATGCATCAATTCGATGCTAAAGTGGTGCGATATGAGGGTGTGCAAGAAACAGATTACCGCACCCCTGCATTCAGATACCATTGATTTTACTACGAGTTGTTTCAAAATGTATCTGACTCGCTTTCGCTCGTTGTAAGATAAATGCTATCTGACAGACACTCGTGTATAAATCTGTATCGACATCAGTTAGAAAGAGATGTCTTTCCATATATACTCTTTAAGATAAAGTAGGGAATCGTGAACTATAAATGTAAATACGTGTTGACGACAACCATCCAATGCGGTTGGGTTTGTGAAGGGCGATGGTTTCTTGAGATAGGCTAGAGAGTTGTCACTTTAAATGCACTGATGAGTAAATAGAGATATTTTGGATGCTTGATTGAACGTGAAGCCAATGTAAGTCACTGAGGATCGCATTGATTTGGGTTGCCCTGGATATCTTAGTTTCATTTAAACATATCTTATTGTATCCAATTACAAAGGGATCAGGGAAACGTGTCCTACCCCTACACACATTGTTGAATTAATGTAGTGTATTGTCATTGTGATTAGTGCTATAGTAAATAGTACCAGCTAGCTCATGCTATGACGTAGCTGATGACGTCAGCGCAGACCGATGTACTGACGCCATGATAGAAGAATGAACCCATGATCGTATCCCAGTCTTCGTGTTATAGATACGGAGACAGTTCAACGTGAGAACCACAGGAAATACATCACACTGGCGACGAGGATTGGATCAGGATGCGTTCACAGTTATGGTTGATTTCGGGATGAAGTGTTCGGATAGGAATGCTTCGTGCAGGCGTCAGTACATCGCTCCAGCAGGCGGTCAAATATCGCGCACCAGCTAACAGGCTCCCTAAATGTCAGTGTGTTGACATGAAATACCCTGTACTAAAGGAAGACGGATCATTATTGTGCAAATTGATACAACCGGAAGTTATTAACTTTTGGAATTGGGTGCAAAATAGCAGTTTGAATTGGAAAGATTGTCGCCTAGCAACTGAACGAGATCTTACGAGAAACACAATGGCCACCCGCATAGGTTTCATTACTGGGTTTGATTCAGCGAAGGAAGACTGGTCTAGCTACATTAAACGCTTTGAGATGAGGATGGCAGCAAGTAAGGCGAGGCCGGAAGAGAGAGTAAACACTTTCCTTGCAACAGTTGGGCCATATGCCTTCGAACTTTTAGTATCGCTCGCTTAACCAGCCCATGTTGCCGGCTTGTAGTACGGAGAGCTGACAGGCTATTTGACGGAATACTACAAACCCTACAGAAATGAAATCACTGAAAGGTATGCATTCAGTAAAAGAAATCAATCACAAACTGAATGTGTGCCAGAATATATACTGGCACTAATGCGATCGAGCTAAAATGGTAACTTTGCAAAATGAACATTTACAAGATAGACTAGTACCAGGGTTACGAAATGAACACATTCAGAAAAAGTTGTTGACAAGACAAGGAATTAACTTGGCAAAATGCATGTGAAATTACTATTGAAATGGAAACAGCAGATAAGGATACAGTCATTCACGCCACAAGTGACACAACTGATTTAAGATGTGTCAAATAGACACTAAGATAAACAGACTGCTGTAGCTGAAGGCAGAATATTTATCCACTGGCATGTCTTGGTTATTTCAGTGGCTCCCATGATTGCGCAGCCAGGGATTGTGGATTCACAGGACGAGTAGAACCTAATGACATGAACTATCGACACTCATCCACCCAGTTAGTGATGTAGTTCTAATCAATATACCATATGCTTCTGTTACCTACACGACCCGTAAAGATCCGGGGTAGAATAGGTCTTCAGCAACCCTTGCTTGCCGTAAAAGGCGACTTTGCTTGCCGTAAGAGGCGACTAACGGGATCGGGTGGTCAGGCTCGCTTGGTTGACGCATGTCATCGTATCCCAATTGCATGGATCAATGCTCATAATGTCAATAACTGGATTGTCTGGTCCAGAATCGATTATTTACAGAACGCCGTCATATAGCTGGAATATTACTGAGTGTGGCGTTAAACAACAAACCAGCCAACCAACTGTTACCTACACAATATCTCGAACAGAAATTGTGTAGTGATATTGTTTGATTCACTGTTAGATCCCTCCGCATATAGTTCGTGCAACATTGCGGGCGATTTAATGCAAAACTTGTTCGTATTACTTACTATAAATTATGTACAAAATTTGATGTTGATGATATGGAGAATCTCACCCAAGTGTCTTTTGATATCAAATATATCTACACGAAAACTTTAAAACTCCGAGGCCTGCAGCCAAGCAATATTTCCTGGGAGCCAGTTTTGGATGATAAAGATATATATACCTAGGAATGGACGAATACATGTTGTTGTATATTGCCCTTCATATTCATGATCACACATGGGCATCAAAGAACAGTTTATCTGTGCGCAGATGCAATTGACTTTCTTGTCAGAGTCCTGTATCAGACCTGATGGTGAGTAGAACACCCCCATAAACCCAAGTCGGACACCAAAGTAGGGATGAATACATTACATGAAATTAAACAAACTATCGGTTACACCAACTTGTGTCTTCAGCAACCCATGCTAGACGTAAAAGGCGACTATGCTTGTCGTAAGAGGCGACTAACGGGATCAGGTGGTCAGGCTCGCTGATTTGGTTGATGCATGTCATCGTATCCCAATTGCATGGATCGATGCTCATGATGTCAATCATTTGATTGCCTGGTTCAGACTCGATTATTAAGAGACCGCCGTCGTAAAGCTGGAATATCGCTGGGAGCGGCGTTAAACAACAAACAAACACATAAATATTAACGTACGCACACACACAAAAATAAATCAGTCTATATGTTAAGCAGCAATGACTGAAAGAGGAGCCAATTAGACAAGGAAAAATATACTAAATGTGACGTTCTGGAATAGAACGTGTGTGGCGTTTGGGGGTGGCTTGGAGTTTATAGTGGGAAAAAAAATTGCACCAGAAAGTGCTTGAAAAAGTAATTATGCTTCAGACTGTTAGAAATAGGCTAGAAATTGTTTGCCACAAAACTTACGCTGTTGGTAGGTTTCAGTAAAATAAATTGAAGGTTTTGCAGCCCTAATCGAAAATATGTGTAAGCTCCCCACACCTCCCACACCCACACCCACCCCTCTTCAACATCAAATGCCCGTCAGTAGCAAGCATACCAACACCTCCCATAAACATGCGGGCATTTATTAGGTTGTGTCACCCACATTTGTTGAGTCAGAGTCAGCACACTTACTTGTGACATTCATACCGATGTGTATAGAGCACAATTATTATTTATTGTTGGCATCAAGCAACGTAGACACCAACTATCACGAAATGTGCACCATTTGCGTTTTTTATTGCCACCTCATTAAATTATATATTAATTTAGTTTATAGGCATATAAAATGTAATATATCGCAATTCTATTGACCATAATAACAAAACATTAAACATTTCATCATCTATAATTTATATCACTTCCATAATTTTTTTGTCATCTGTATATGGTCAAAATGTATATATCACTTTTAAGGGTACGCCATTTCAAAGAGTGAATGAATGTAGAGAGATCCTTTACTACACAACTTTAGAACCCATTTCAACATTTACCTGAGATATTGGTCTTGTCCGCTATACAAAATAGTGACAATAATAACGTGCCATTTATGAAAGAAATGTTTGATTTTGCTGTAGCATAATTCGTGTAACTACGTTGCAGTCAATTGCAGTGGAGTTAAAATTCGCATTGTCATATGTAGAAGATCAATAATGCATGTTTGTTTGTTTGGTTGTTGTTTAACGACGCACTCAGCAATATTCCAGCTATATGACGGTGGTCTGTAAATAACCGAGTCTGGACCAGACAATCCAGTGATTGACATCATGAGCATCGATCCACGCAATTGACGTCAATTGCTGACGTTTGTCTGGTCAAGACACGATTATTTACACAGACCGCCGTCATGTAGCTGGAATATTGCTGAGTGCGGCGTTAAACAACCAACAAACAAAATAAACAAAAAAGTCATGCAATAATGCAGTGGCAAGGGCAACTACATCACTGTCCATAGTTCTATGCAAACAGGGGCGGTCGGGTAGCCTAGTGGTTAAAGCGTTCGCTCGTCTCGCCGAAGACCCAGGTTCGATTCCTGACATGGGAACAATGTGTGAAGCATTTCTGGTGTCCCCCGCCGTGATATTGCTGGAATATTGCTAAAAGCAGCGTAAAACCATACTCACTCACTCACTCACTCACTCACTCACTCACTCACTCACTCACTCACTCACTCACTCACTCACTCACTCACTCACTCACTCACTCACTCACTCACTCACTCACTCACTCACTCACCGTTTGTGTCCATGGTGCGACAAATCCAAGGCGTGCGGCGTTAAACAACAAACAAACAAACACAGAACAAGAGTTCTTTATTCCAATCTCTGAATGTCAGCATCCCTCCTCAGGTGCAGGCCGCTTCTAAATCATGCATTGTGTGTCAGTGGTCCTTGAGGGCTTTTAGTGGCTTCTTCCAATAAACTATTCCTGCTGGGCCTGACAACTGCACTCTTTCCCCGACTGCTTGCATTACAGGTCTGCCTGTGTATGGAACGTGAGTGAAGGAATGACGTTTTTTTACACAGCCTTCAACAGTATATCAGTAAGTTCTTTGACGGCATGTCAGCTTAATGTAGGAGGAAAGCCCACTCAAGCTAAGGTGTGTGAAAAATACTGAAAAAATATCAATTTTGACATGTCCTATCCATCTGTCAAGAGAAGAAGTCATATCCACTGGAAGGTCAAGAAAATGTGCATTCACTGGATCAACTGTTTCAACCAATGGGATATTTTCACACATTTCCATCCTTTTTACAATGAAATAGGAACTTGAATTGTGCAGGTCGGCTCCAAACGTTCTAGGCTGACAGCCATAGTTCAAATCTGACACATATCCATAACTCCTCGGAGACCGTTGGTTATTTTCAGCGTCAAAGTTTACCATTGGGCCATCATTGTAACATACAAGCCTTCAACCAGCCTTCTGTTTACCACATGTTAATAATTTGTAATGTTTGTTGGTTTGTTGATAGTCCCCTATTACGTCTATGTGTTATTATTAGCATAATGTTTATTATTTATGTGAAATGCACAAACATGTACTGTACTGTTTTTCCCAGCATAAAAAGGTACCATGCTTTTATATAACCTAATTCATCTCGCTTCAGCCGTCATAATGTTCGAATATTGCTGAATGTGGCGTCACACAAAAATACAACAATACAACAATAAAAAATATAAATGAAAAAAATTATAATAAAAAAATCGACCCGTGAAGATCAGGGGTAGAATAGGTCTCCAGCAACCCTTGCCGTAAAAGGCGACTACGCTTGTCATAAGAGGCGACTAACGGGATTTGGGTGGTCCGGCTTGCTGATTTGCTGGACATCGTTTCCCAACTGCATGGATCGATGCTCATGATGTCAATCACCCCCGTCATATAGCTGGAATATTGTTGAGTGTTGTGTTAAACAACAAACACAGAAACAAACAAACGAACTTTTAAAAAATCCTACCACGGTAATATAACAATGTATCCTACATGCGGTTGTGACGGGTGCCACCGGTGGGCAGAATACGCTCACCATTTAGAACACCTGGTATTATCACTATCTGACAGTTATTCAAAAAACACATTTTCGTGATACAGTCTCGTGGGTATTGTCTTGTCGCCTTTCTTTACTCGGGTTTCTTTTCCCACTATAAACTCCAAGCCACCCCCAAACGCCACACACGTTCTATTCCAGAACGTCACATTTAGTATATTTTTCCTTGTCTAATTGGCTCCTCTTTCAGTCATTGCTGCTTAAAATATAGACTGATTTATTTGTGTGTGTGCGTGCGTTAATATTTATGTGTTTGTTTGTTGTTTAACGCCGCTCCCAGCGATATTCAAGCTAATAATCGAGTCTGAACCAGGCAATCAAATGATTGACATCATGAGCATCGATCCATGCAATTGGGATACGATGACATGCATCAACCAAATCAGCGAGCCTGACCACCTGATCTCGTTAGTCGCCTCTTACGACAAGCATAGTCGCCTCTTACGGCAAGCATGGGTTGCTGAAGACCCAAGTTGGTGTAACCGATAGTTTGTTTAATTTAATGTAATGTATTTATCCCTACTTTGGTGTCCCACTTGGGTTAAGGGGAGTGTTCTACTCACCATCAGGTCTGATACAGGACTCTGAAAAGAAAGTCAAATGCATCAGTGCACAGATAAACTGTTCTTTTATGCCCATGTGTGATCATGAATATGAAGGGCAATATACAACAACATGTATTCGTCCATTCCTAGGTATATATATCTTTATCATCCAAAACTGGCTCCTACAGAAGATATCGCTTGGCTGCAAGCCTCGGAGTTTTAAACTTTTATCGACTCGTGTAGATATATTTGATATCAAAAGACACTTGGGTGAGATTCTCCGTATCATCGACATCAAATTTTATATATGATTTCTATTAAGTATTACACAAAATCGCCCGCAATGTTGCACGAACTATATGCGGAGGGATCTTACAGTGAATCAAACAATATCACTACACAATTTCTGTTCGAGATATTGTGTAGGTAACAGAAGCATATGGTATATTGATTAGAACTACATCACCAGCTGGGGACGAAGTAGGCGGATGAGCGTCGGATAGATTGTTCATGTCACTAGGTTCTACTCACTCTGTGAATCCACAATCCCTGGCTGCACAATCATCGGAGCCACTGAAACAATCAAGCCATGCCATAAATATTCTGCTTTCGTTGTCTTCGTTGTTTTTCAACGGTAGATGTTGAAGTGCGCCTTATTGTATTTGCACGGAATTCTCAAATGATAACAGGAACAAATCTGAATCTATTGCGTATTGCAATTAATCCAAGGAGACGATTTTGCTCAGGTGTCGTACTATTAGGCCTGCCACGCCCATCTCTCATTGCAAACCCATCGGTTTAACGGTACTTGACCGACTGTCGAGAATTACACTCTTTGATTTGCCCAACATTTGCAACTTGGGGTTTGATGTTAATGATGGGAACGCCACGGTATTGTACATTTGCACCTTAACATTCAAATCATTAGTTCCCTTATTTGTATATGTGGATTATCAAGGCGATGATGATAATGCAAACTGGATAAGATCAAAGCACATTTATTAATGGGTCCTTAGGTCATCACCATGTAATAGCCAATCACGGACCTAAATACCAATTATATCCAACGGGTTTCTCAGCCAAAGATGTGTAAGGAACACTCCACAGCAATTGCAGACTAAGCGGATAACATCAGGGACTCAACGGGAATATGTGTTAGCAAAGTCCGTGAGCCTGACCACCCGATCCCGTTAGTCGCCTCTTACGATAAGCATAGTCACCTTAGCAGATAACATCAGAGACTCAACGGGAATATGTGTTAGCAAAGTCCGTGAGCCTGACCACCCGATCCCGTTAGTCGCCTCTTACGACAAGCATAGTCACCTTAGCAGATAACATCAGGGACTCGCTTTAAATAACCACAACGGGAATATGCGTATCTGTGAATTTTGCCTTGGGAAAATACTGAAGTCTGTAATTTCATTATTCATATCATAAATAATTTAATACTAAAGTTGAGAAAGTAAAGACGATAGGACACTCACTAAATACTATATTCGTGATAGAATGTGAGGACGGGATTTTGTCTGGGGATCAGATATTTTTCAGCTACAGAACCAGATATTGTTTTACTTAAAAATCCCAATTTGCGTCTGATATTTTATATACATCAATCAGAAGTACAGCTGGGTGAGGATATGCGTCTGATATGTTATACACATCAATGTTTGTTTGTTTGTTTGTTGTTTAACGCCGCACTCGGCAATATTCGAGCTGCATGATGGCTGTCTGTAAGTAATCGAGTCTGGACCAGACAATCCAGTGATTGATGCAATTGGGATACGATGTCATGCGTCAACCAAGCGAGTCTGATCACCCGATCCCGTTAGTCGTCTTTTACGGCAAGCATGGTTTGCTGAAAAGATTGTCTAAACTCTGATTTTCACGGGGCTGAGAATTTGTAAGGATATATTATATTCATTCATTCATTCACAAGTATAGCTGGGTTTTGCAAAGGTTAAAACATTTAGGGAAGAAGTAGGCATCCCCATGTGTAACAATTGCGCTTCCTTTTTGCTGATATGTTTCTTTAGGCAGATGCATCGAACTTGGCTAAAACTTCAGCTTCGGGTGGTTCGATGTTCTCATATCGTTCAATAACCTCCAAATAGCCAATTCCCTTCCACTGATCTACCCACCTGAACTAGAAATAAAGCAGACCAGTGAGACCGCTTCATCTGTTTTATGTTTAGATCTATGCATAAAGATTGATTCGGAGTCAAACCTTCCAATGGTCAACTTTCCCTTTATGTCTAGCAATATTCCTGCGGCTCCAGCCCTCGGTGTCTCGATTTAACAAGTTTTGAGGTACAATCGTGCATGCTCTTCCTACCTAGATTTTAAAGAGCGCCATGTGACTCTTGTTCCGAAGTATTCAAGGTCTAAGTACATCTATCCAAACATTTTATGGTTGACATGTGGAGGACAAAATTTGACAAAATGATGTCCGATGCAATTGAAAAGTTGACTGTACAATATGACCCCCCCCCCCGGTTTTTTCAGGTGCCTTTGCATGTGTTTGTGACAGGTGCCACTGGTGGGACAGGCCTAATTATCTTTTCGAGAACTCCTGGTATCATCACTATTTGATAGTGATTCATAAACACTTGCTCATGATATAGTTTGAATCGTGCAATCGGTATGTCTTATGAAAGGGTTACGGTTACGATTCGCGACATGAGTGGTTCAGCCACCAGATTCGGCTGTTACAATGTTTGGTTAGTTTGGATGTTTACAATGCGAAGCCATATTAGTTGTCTATCAGTATAGAGAAGAAGGTGATCAAGGTATCAGCCACCAGGATAGGCGGTTGTAATGTGCGGCCATGTTGGTTTCTATCACTATAAAGAAGGAGGTGATCAAGGTATCAGCCACCAGGATAGGCGGTTGTAATGTGCGGCCATGTTGGTTGTCTATCCGTATAAAGAAGAAGGTGATCAAGGTATCAGCCACCAGGATAGGCGGTTGTAATGTGCGGCCATGTTGGTTTCTATCACTATAAAGAAGGAGGTGATCAAGGTATCAGCCACCAGGATAGGCGGTTGTAATGTGCGGCCATGTTGGTTTTTATCACTATAAAGAAGGAGGTGATCAAGGTATCAGCCACCAGGGTAGGCGGTTGTAATGTGCGGCCATGTTGGTTTTTATCAATATAAAGAAGGAGGTGATCAAGGTATCAGCCACCAGGATAGGCGGTTGTAATGTGCGGCCATGTTGGTTGTCTATCAGTATAGAGAAGGAGGTGATCAAGGTATCAGCCACCAGGATAGGCGGTTGTAATGTGCGGCCATGTTGGTTTTTATCACTATAAAGAAGGAGGTGATCAAGGTATCAGCCACCAGGATAGGCGGTTGTAATGTGCGGCCATGTTGGTTTTTATCACTATAAAGAAGGAGGTGATCAAGGTATCAGCCACCAGGATAGGCGGTTGTAATGTGCGGCCATGTTGGTTTTTATCACTATAAAGAAGGAGGTGATCAAGGTATCAGCCACCAGGATAGGCGGTTGTAATGTGCGGCCATGTTGGTTTTTATCACTATAAAGAAGGAGGTGATCAAGGTATCAGTCACCAGGATAGGCGGTTGTAATGTGCGGCCATGTTGGTTTTTATCACTATAAAGAAGGGGGTTATCAAGGTATCAGCCACCAGGATAGGCGGTTGTAATGTGCGGCCATGTTGGTTTTTATCACTATAAAGAAGGAGGTGATCAAGGTATCAGCCACCAGGATAGGCGGTTGTAATGTGCGGCCATGTTGGTTTTTATCACTATAAAGAAGGAGGTGATCAAGGTATCAGCCACCAGGGTAGGCGGTTGTAATGTGCGGCCATGTTGGTTGTCTATCAGTATAGAGAAGGAGGTGATCAAGGTATCAGCCACCAGGATAGGCGGTTGTAATGTGCGGCCATGTTGGTTTTTATCACTATAAAGAAGGAGGTGATCAAGGTATCAGCCACCAGGATAGGCGGTTGTAATGTGCGGCCATGTTGGTTTTTATCACTATAAAGAAGGAGGTGATCAAGGTATCAGCCACCAGGATAGGCGGTTGTAATGTGCGGCCATGTTGGTTTTTATCACTATAAAGAAGGAGGTGATCAAGGTATCAGCCACCAGGATAGGCGGTTGTAATGTGCGGCCATGTTGGTTTTTATCACTATAAAGAAGGAGGTGATCAAGGTATCAGCCACCAGGATAGGCGGTTGTAATGTGCGGCCATGTTGGTTGTCTATCAGTATAGAGAAGGAGGTGATCAAGGTGTCAGCCACCAGGATAGGCGGTTGTTAGTGCGGCCATGTTGGTTTTTTATCAATATAAAGAAGGAGGTGATCAAGGTATCAGCCACCAGGATAGGCGGTTGTAATGTGCGGCCATGTTGGTTGTCTATCAGTATAGAGAAGGAGGTGATCAAGGTATCAGCCACCAGGATAGGCGGTTGTAATGTGCGGCCATGTTGGTTGTCTATCAGTATAAAGGAAGTGATCAAGGTATCAGCCACCAGGGTAGGCGGTTGTAATGTGCGGCCTTGTTGGTTGTCTATCCGTATAAAGGAGGTGATCAAGGTATCAGCCACCAGGATAGGCGGTTGCAATGTGCGGCCATGTTGGTTGTTTATCCGTATAAAGAAGGAGGTGATCAAGGTATCAGCCACCAGGGTAGGCGGTTGTAATGTGCGGCCTTGTTGGTTGTCTATCCGTATAAAGAAGGAGGTGATCAAGGTATCAGCCACCAGGGTAGGCGGTTGCAATGTGCGGCCATGTTGGTTGTCTATCCGTATAAAGGTGGTGATCAAGTTATCAGCCACCAGGGTAGGCGGTTAGGGAGGCGATTTTGTCTGGAGATCAGATATTTTTTCAGCTGTACGACCCTGTAAATGCTTACATTCTTTCCGTCAGTCTCGCTGACTTGCTTGATGCATGTCATCGATCCCAATTGCGTGGATCGATGGTCATGATATTAATAAATGGATTGTCTGGTCCAGGCTCGATTATGTACAGACCGCCGTCATATAGCTGGGATATTGTTGACTGAGGCGTTAAACAACAAGCCAACCAACCCCAGTGATAACCGACCACTTACAATATGGCCTTGATCTTGCGGCTTGTTGCGGTCCTGTAATTCGTTCCTAACGCGAAGTATAGATCATATTCAGATACAGATAAGACCCGTAAAGATCCGGGTAGAGAACAGGTCTTCAGCAACCCATGCTTGACGCAAGAGGCGACTAGCGGGATGGGGTGGTCAGGCTTGCTGACTTGGTTGATGCATGCCATCGTATCATCCTTGTGAAGATCGATGTTCATGATATCAATCACTGGATTGTCTGGTCCAGACTTGAATATTAACATATAGGTGGAATATTACTGAGTGCGGCGTTAAATAACGAACTAACTACAGATAATTGCAGATCATTATTGTCATCCTACATCTATTTCTCCGCTAATGACCCGACCTCAAGACACATGTATCGGTAAGGCATATAACATGTCCAGAGCTCCCATTTACATCTTATTCTATGATAACACATGACTGCATTCAAAGGAAAGTTATCTTACCAAGGATCATCAAAAACAACAGCTTCATGTTGAAACGTCTCCGAGCCAAATGCTCACTGCTGATGAAAATGATCTGCCTGGTTGGTAGATGTATCTTCACATAAATACTTTCCCCACCAGGAAAGAGAACATTTCCATTTGCTGCAGCTGACACACGCGAACGTGTCGTCAAGCTTAATAAATCGTACTGAGCCATTAGATGACATGAGTAAGTATGAGAAGCACACATTTCCTCAACCAACCAGCCTTTGTTTGCTGACGATCTATAGCCCGTTTTTATTATGTATTGTGTTGTTGAGTAATGGTTTCCTCTTGAAAAAAGTTTTCAAACTTGTTTTTAAAATATTGATGTGATATATTGCTAGTTATTTCATTGTCCATCCTTGACAGCTTTCAAAATACTATTAAAGTCTAACTTTTTCTAATAAGGATAACTAGTGGTAGAATGAATGGAAGATCGGGGCTTCGATCCCTGGCTGCGTCATACCAAAAGACGACACAAGATGGTATGTGTTGTTACCCTGACTGGCGCTCGGCATTAAGGGACTAAAACAAGGACTGGTCGGCTCGGAGTTAGTATGCTGTGTCTGAGTGGGGTAAACTGCGGAATGGTATCTCAGTGGGGTTCACTATAAATATCGTCATTAGTCCTGACTAGTACCAGCATCCACACACACGTGCATGCACGTCCCTATATAAGTGCAATAATCTTGGACGCGACATTAAACACCATTTTACCGCTTACCTCAAATCAGGAAATGGCTGGAAAACTTTAAACTCACTCAACCCACTCCACGAATGCCATGACAGGTAGAGCTGCTATACAGTAGGATTTTAAAGACAACAATCAAAGAACCACGGCCAAACATGTTCTTCGTGACTGCATAGATCTTTCCATAACAAAGGATAACTATATCCAGGTTTCATCCATTAAGGATCTTTAAAATGTAAATCACCATTTAATTCTTGGTTTGAGACATTGAGTTGATTGATAACTTTTGATAATAGTATGTATTGTATAAAGTAAGTGAGTTGGTACAATGAAATCATAATTGAGATTGTTAGTGGCTGTATATTCAAATGGGGTTGAAGTATCGTACTTGTCCTCCGAAGAGGGTAGGTAAGTCTCATTTCATTACAAGTATTTTACATCTCTGCATGGCTTTAATCATAGAATACATGTTGGTTTTAAATATTTGGCTCAAGTTACTAACAATCGCCAGTAGCCAGAGGGATGGTGTAAATCACGCTGGCTAAATACCAATGGCTCCTAGTATTGTGGCAACTTTGGTTGCTGGTGATCCATACCCTGGTGCATAATGTAGAGTTATGAATAATCCAATAGTTATGGTTACATTCTAGTTTTATATCTGTATCTGTGATAATCTAGTTCTTTCACTATCCTTTGTCGACTGGTTTTACAGTATTCTGGATTATTTATGTATAACTTGATTTAGTCACGAGACCCATGAAGATCCAGGGCAGAATAGGTCTTCAGCAACCCATTCTTGCCCTAAAAGGCGTTATGCTTGTCGTAAGAGGCGACTAACGGATCGGATGGTCAGGCTCGCACTTGGTTGACAAGGAAGCCAATGAAACCCCTTTAACATACTTACTGAGTGGAAACTTGATGAGTTTCTAGTACGCGCATGGGATGAAATAGCATTGATCTGTGTCTTGTGTCTTGACTGATTCTGCTAGTTTTCTTTCAGTGCGGTTGTTGGAGAGGATTTTGATGTTTTCCCAATTGGTGTTGTGATTGGGACAGTTGCTGGTATGGTCAAAGATGTATGATTTACGGTCTGTCTTGATGGTTGAAGTTTAGTACCCTTTGGTTCTGGTGTGCATGGGCGGAATGTTTCACCTACACAGAATTGTCCACAGTTACAGTCAATTATATAAACTAAGTCTTTTGGTTCATCTATACTTGTCGTAAAAGATGACTAACAGGTTCGGGTTGTCAGGCTCGCTGACATGGTTGATGCATGTCATGGTATCCCAATTGCGTGGATTGATGCTCATAATATCAATCACTAGATTGTCTGGTCCAGACTCGATTATTTACAGACCGTCGTCATATTGCTGGAATATTGCCGAGTGCGGCGTTAACAAATAAACAAAGAAACAAAGAAACAAATCGTTAAGAACTACTGCAGTTTTCTTAACTAATTACACATTGCAGCTTACTGTATATGATTTACAAACAACTATGACTGTTCTGGTATATGTTACACTAGTATGTCGTTGAAAGTTGTCACGTAGATTATACTCTTAAAACAACTGTAAAGCGTTGACTATCTGAAAGTAGTCACAACATACACTAGACTTCTGCCATCTATACTATGTTAGAGAAAATATATTACATGCATTATTGATCTTCTACATATGACGATGCTAATTTTAACTCCGCTGCAATTGACTGTAACATGGTTAAACGAATTACGCTGCAGAAAAATCAAACATTTCTTTCATTAAAGGCGCGTTATTATAATACCAATGTCTCAGGTAAATGGTGAAATGGGTTCTAATGTTGTGGAGTGAAAATTCACTCTACATTCATTCATTCTTTGAAATGGCGTACCCTTAAAAGCGACATATACACGTTGAACATATACAGATGACAAAAAAGCATGTTGACCATATACAGATGACAAAAAACATGGAAGTGATATAAATCATAGATCATGAAATGTTTAATGTTTTGTTACTATGGTTTGGTTAATAGAATTGCAATATGTTACATTTTATGTGCCTATAAACTAAATTATATATACTAGTAATTTAATGAGGAGACAATGAAAAACGCAAATGGTGCACATTTCGTGATAGTTGGTGTCTACGTTGTTTGATGCCAACAATAAATAATAATTGTGCTCTATACACATCGGTATGAATGTCACAAGTAAGTGTGCTGACTCTGACTCAACAAATGTGGGTGACACAACCTTATAAATGCCCGCGTGTTTATGGGAGGTGTTGGTATGTGTGCTACTGACGGGCATTAGCTATTGAAGAGGGGTGGGGGCGGGGGTGGGTGGGTGAGGTGTGGGGAACTTAGACATATTTTCGATAAGGGCTGCAAAACCTTCAATTTATTTTACTGAACACCTACCAATAGCGTAAGGTTTGTGACAAACAATTTCTAGCCTATTTCTATCAGTCTGAAGCATATTACTTTTTCAAGCACTTTCTGGTGCAATTTCTTTTCCACCAAAAACTCCAAGCCACCCCAAAACACTACTGTACACACGTTCTATTCCAGAACGTCACATTTAGTATATGTTTCCTTGTCTCATAGGCTGCTCTCTCAGCCATTGCTGCTTAAAATATAGACTGATTTATTTGTGTGTGTATTTGCATGCGTTGATATTTATGTGTTTGTTTGTTGTTTAACGCTACACTCAGCGATATTCCAGCTTTACGACGGCGGTCTGTTAATAATCGAGTCTGAACCAGGACAATCAAGTGATTGACATCATGAGCATCGATTCATGCAATTGGGATACGATGACATGCATCAACCAGTATGGGTTGCTGAAGACCTATTCTACTCTGGAATCTTCACGGGTCCAATAATGCATGTAAAATATTTTTTAATAATGCATGTAATAAATTTTCTCTAACATAGTATAGATGGCAGAAAGTCTAGTGTATGTTGTGACTACTTTCAGATATTAAACAATAGTCAACGTTTTACAGTTGTTTTAAGAGTTTATTCAACATCACTACATTCAGCGACATATTATATACCAGAACAGTCATAGTTGTTTGTAAATCATTTACAGTAAGCTGCAATGTGTGTTTAGTTAACAAAACTGCAGTAGTTCTTAACAATTTGTTTCTTTGTTTCTAGTCAAGACTCGATTATTTACAGACCGCCATCATATAGCTGGAATATTGCTGAGTGTGGCGTCAACAAACAAACATACAAATACAATACTAGGAGCCATTGGTATTTACCCAGCATGATTTATCCCATGCCTCTGGCTACTGGCGATTGTTAGTAAGTTGAGCCAAATATATAAAACCAACAAGTATTCTATGATTAAAGCCATCACTTGTAATGAAATGAGACTTACGTAACTCTCCGAAGGACAAGTAGTTTACGATACTTTAACCACCTTTGAAGATACTGCCACTAACAATCTCAATTATGATTTCATTGTACCAACTCACTTACTTTATACAATACATACTATTATCACAAGTTATCAACCAACTCAATGTCCCAAACAAAGAATTAAATGATGATTTCCATTTAAAGATCCTTAATGGATAAAACCTGGATATAGTTATCCTTTGTGATGGAAACATCTATGCAGTCACGCAGAACATGTTTTGCCGTGATTCTCTGATTGTCATCTGTACAATCCTACTGTATAGCAGCTCTACCTGTCATGGCATTCGTGGAGTGGGTTGAGTGAGTTTAAAGTTTTTCAGCCATATCCTGATTCGAGGTGAGGTGAGGTAAAATGGTGTTTAATGTCGCGTCCAAGATTATTGCACTTATATAGCGACGTGCATGCACGTGTGTGTGGTACTAGTCCGGATTAATGACGATATTTATAGTGCACCCCACTGAGATACCATTCCGCAGTTTATCATGAATACCCCACTCAGACACAGCATACTAACTCCGAGCCGACCAGTCCTTGTTTTATTCCCTTAATGCCGAGCGCCAGGCAGGGTAACAACAAGTTCCATCTTTTATCGTCTTTTGGTATGACAGATATCCTGATTAGAGTGAGTATGGTTTTACGCTGCTTTTAGCAATATTCCTGCAATATCAAACCAGGGGACACCAGAAATGGGCTTCACACATTGTACCCATGTCGGGAATCGAACCCGGGTCTTCCGCGTGACGAGCGAACGCTTTAACCACTAGGCTACCCGACATGGGTACAATGTGTGAAGCCCATTTCTGTTGTCCCCCGCCGTGATATTGCTGGAATATTGCTAAAAGCGGCGTAAAACCATACTCACTCACTCACTCACTCACTCACTCATGAGGTACAGATACAGGTACTCTGTAATTACGAGTACTGAAGTAGGGAATGGACAAAATGTACACATGTTTATATTTGACGTGTTTCAGTCATTTTAGCCGCTCAGTCGA